TGACCACTCTCCCTTTGTATGGCTCTTGTCCACCCCTCCTTACATAAGGACAGAACCCAAATTCACAGCTAGTGAGGCTCTCACCTCTGAGCTTGACTCCCACTCACAACTACACAGATGTCCACCGAGCCCCAAATCCACGCATACTGACGAGCCTGAGCCCACACTGCCCCAGACTTCCCCCCATCCCAGCAGGCAGCACCTCTCTAGCTACCGACCTCCATGCCCCACTCCTCTCTGTTGTACGACCCCCAGCAAGGAGCTCAGTGCCACCCCAACCCTTGGTACTCTAGCTCAGGCGCTCACCCTAACCCAAGCTGCCTTGGCCTCCTCTCCACCTCTGTCCCACACAGAGGCTGTCAGGCCTTCAACTCCTGCTACTGCCAAACTCCAGAGTCAGTCTGTCTTTCAACATGCTTGGTTCCCTCTCTCCACATACATGGCTGTTTCTGTCCCATTTCCACTTCCTGCACCCACGAGGCTGCCCACACCCAGTAGCCACCACTCTCCTTTAGGACTCTGTTCACATGCACAGACTCCCTCAAACAGAGCCCACAGCGAGGCCCCTTGGCCTGACCTCTCTCTCTCTTTCTCCCTCTTCACAGAACCGCCACCACAACCAGATGTGTCCGCCGCAGTTGGAGCCTTCTGCCTTTGCCTAGATCCTCGCAGGCCCCACCCCTTTCCAGATCTGCTTGCAGTGGCTCCTCCCCTGCACTTTCACACCCGCTGTCTAGAAACGCGTGTATCTCCGTGTCTGCAGACTGTCAGTCTCGAGCAGGTGGGGACTGTGTCTTATTTTACAGATGACACAAGCCTAACGGCTGGCAGTGTCAAACAGGATAAACACTTTAGGTTTGTTCAATTAAACGAATCAATAAACACGCGAAGGTGCATGTCTGAGCCAGAGTACACTTGGCTGCGAGGCTGTGGCCCTGCCCCACAGGCTACACATTCCCAGAAGGTAGTTCAGGCACAGCTGCAGTTGCCACCCACAGCCCCAGATGTTTGAACATCTGCAGTGGGCTGCAGGTGCTGGTATCATGGGCTGAGGCTTTGGCAAGTCTTCTGCTTGGAGACTGAGCCACTGCGTTCCAGCAAGGCCTCAGGAGGAGTCCAGCAGAGGACAGAGGCACTGCGCCCGCCGAGCAGGCAGGAATACTGGACCCTTCTAAGTGCCCAGTGCCTTCCAACTCAAGCCTTGAAGCTTGACTGCGATGCTGAGTGGAAGAAAAATGACTGAGGTGACCAAATCAATGGGTAAAGAAGTCATGGCCACTCGGGAGGCAGAGGTAAGTAAATCTCTGTGATGCCGGAGAATTGTCTATATTCTGTCAATCATATTTTAATAAAACGCTGATTGGCCAGGCAGGCAGTATAGGCGGGAAAACCAGACAGGAAGTAGAGGTGATGCAATGAGAACAGGAGAATTCTGGGAAGCAGGGAGGTTCCTCTGCCATTCCTGTACAGACCACCGAAGAGGCAACATGTAAGCTGTTATACTGAGAAAGGTACTGAGCCCATGTGGCTAACATAGATCAGAATAATGGGTTAAGATAAGTCATAAGAACTAATAAGTAACCTGACCTAATGGGCCAATCAGTTTATAACCTTATGGAGTCTTGTGTGTGATTTTTCCCTTGGGAGTTGCTGGTTGTGGGGTACTGGGAGGGACAGAAACCCCAACAAGCCAGCCGTCATGTTACATCTCTGTGAGTTCAAGCCTGGTCTACAAGACCTAGTTCCAGGACAGGCTCCAAAGCTACAGAGAAACCCTGTCTCGAAAAATAAAAATAAAAATAAATCACGGGGACCACCTAGCACTAGGTCCAGGTTCTTAGAGGTTCGGCAGAGGAAGAGATGAGGCCCCAGGAAAGCAGAGGATGAAGAGCCTGCACTGGTCCACATCAGAAGGGGCTTCAAGGGCTTCTCCAGGAGAAGGTGGGATTTGGTCCATGCAGAGAACAGCGTGGGCCAGGGGCTAAGATGGGAAAGAGTTAGGAAGACAAGCGGCTGAAGAGTAGAGCGGCTGGCTCTATGTGAGGGAGGAGGGCTAGCAACAGAGCCGCAGAGCCTGGGCAGAACAAGTGCAGTCAGAAGTACATTAGGCAAGAGCAGGGCCGATCAGCGTCTGAGTCAGCCCCAAAGGAGTAGTGTGCCCTGGTGCTGGACACCTGCCCTGGCTCTAAACTCCGGGTCAGCCCAGAGCAGGCAAGCAGGCAGGGCCCCAGAGGATGGTGAGGGGCTGGTGCAAATCCTTCCAGGCAGCTGAGACCAGGGAAAGGGGCCTGGCCACACACTCCACTGAGCCTGACCTCTCACCTCCATCTCGCCAACCAGCCGTTGCAGCTGAATGCACTGTGTCTCGAGTTCCTCCTGCCTTCGCAGGGTTGCACTGCCTCCTGGAGAAGAAGTGAGTGAACAAATCTACTGCCACAACCTAGAGGCTGGCAAGTGTTCTGCCAGAAGGGCTTCTGGAGATTCTCTGAGAACCACCCCTGAGCTGGTCTCTCTGATCTCTCTCTTAACCCTGAGTGGTGGTGGTGGTGGTGGTGGTGGTGGTAGGTTTGCCTGAACTGACTTTCAAGAGCCAGCCATCCCTTCTTCCACTGAAGCGTACCCTACCCCCGTGCTCTCAACAGAGAAGTCTGTATGAGGCATGGGATGAAGGGTTGTTGTCCCTCTGGTCCCATCTGTCCAGACCCCACCAGGAGTCTGCCTGATGCCCTTGGAGTATTGATTCCCAAAGCCATTGTCCAGGCTCCCACAATTCAGGGACCCGAGCAGGTACATGACCAAGGGCTTCTTACCCTGGTTCTGCTGGAGGGTCTGCACCAAATCCTCCAGGGCCAGGATCTTCTGGTCCTGAAGCAGTGAAACTCAGAGTGAGTGGGTCCCAGAACCCCACAGGTTAGTAATGAGGTAACTTTAGCCCTCCCCACGGGACGAGCCATATCTTTTGCCTTTGTGTGAACATAAACCTGTCTTTGTCACTCTTAGGTATAGCCCCTGCTTCTGAGCCTTGATAACCCCATCTCTCTGACAGCCGCACTAGCTGAAGAAAGGCACAGCCCGTCTTGGGCCGTGTCCAGCTCACCATCTCTGCTCCACAGCCTGCCAACTACCCAGCCCATATTCTACCAGGCTTTGCCCTCTGCTAAGCTCATGGAGACCAAGATCATCCCCAGGTCATGGCTTGCCATCAAAGCAGGCCATTCTGGGGCTGGAGAGATGGCTCAGTGGTTAAGAGCACTGACTGCTCTCCTAAAGGACTCTTCCAGAGGACCCAGGTTCAATTCTCAGCACCCACATGGCAGCTCACAACTGTTTATAATTCCAAGATCTCTCACACACATACATACATACAGGCAAAACACCAATACATGTAAAATAAATTTTTTTTTCGAGACAGGGTTTCTCTGTGGCTTTGGAGCCTGTCCTGGAACTTGTTCTTGTAGACCAGGCTGGTCTTGAACTCGCAAAGATCCTCCTGTCTCTGCCTCCCGAGTGCTGGGATTAAAGGCGTGCGTCACCACCGCCCCGCGTATAATTTTTTTTTTTAAAAAAAAACCAGCTGTTCACTCTGGACCTTCAACTGTTGCTCCAGTTCCCGCAGCTTCCTGCCCATGGAGGTCATCATATCTGAGTCATTGAATACAGGGACTGCCAAGTGGACAAAGTTTCTAGTGCTCAGGTCTGGAGCTGAGGCTGACGTGGGAAGGGCCAGAGAGGGAGAGGGCCGCAAGGACGGAAGGAGCAGTACCAACAGCAGCTAACATTCAGTGATGGGGCTTGAAGCTCTTTACACAGAGCAGCTCATGCCGTCCCCACAGTGGGCTGTGAAGTCAGTGGGCTACGGGCGACTTTGTGAAGCTGGGTGGGGTGCAGCAACTTGTTCCAGGGGCATGCATCAGTGCAATACATAGGCCACACCATTTAAGTCGTGTGTGTGTGTGTGTGTGTGTGTGTGTGTGTGTGTGCAGGATTATATATTCCCATGCACACACATGCAGAGGCAAAGGAGGACATGGGGGCCTTCCTCTATCTATCACTCTCTCTCTCTCTTTTTTTTTTTTTTTTTTGGTGGCAGTGGTGGGGCAAA